AGGTTCACATGAGAGAACGTACAGGAAAGCTTTGCTGACCTTAACATGTTTTATAAACAAATGTTGGCTATGATTATTCTGGCTTGGGAGTGATTTCTGTTTTCTCTCAGACTTTAAATTGCTTCTTGGCTTTCCCCCATCTTGGGTACAGTTGAGTGGTCATCCCCCAGTTCCCCATAGGCCAGAAGTAGCTGCACCTGCCTGGTCCTGTCTCCAAATCTTTGTGCTATCAAGCACCTGAGTTTCTAGGCCCTGGAAGAGGCTTTCACCCTCAACAAGTGCAAAGCCTGGGAGGCTCTGCCTGTGATGAATGAGCTCGCTGGTCTTACCCAGACAGCAGCAGTCTGCTTTTCCTGGTGTCCTATCTCAGCGTGATGCTGAATGCATAAAAACCTGGCAGTATCATTCGCCTTTCAGCTGACATTTATCACTGCAGAAACTGTATAAACACCTCTCCAACCAAATGCCGGTGGATTTTAGCATCTCTCTTCCTCCCTTTTTTTCTCTCACCCCCAGACAGCCTCTGGCATCCAGCCACAGGCTCAGACTCACCATCTCCTCTTTTCTTTATTTTCCTACAGACAGGAACACAGCAAGGGAAAAACCAGCTAGTCCTAGGGGCCTTGGGGGTATAGAGAATTTCCCCCAGACATCTTAGCTGATTGAAAGTCAATTTTTCCCCTACAGCTTCAGCTTAAGAAAGTGACATCTTTTCAAGTTACTAGCTAAGGCCAGGTCACACACCTTCTGACACATGCATGGCCCCCTCCTTGGAAAGGGCTCATTTGCATGATGTGAAACAGCTCTCAGTGGTGAGAGATCTTGATTCTAGAGGTGGTCCTATCTGACCTGTTGTTCAGTCATGTCTGACTCTCCATGACCCCATTTGGGATTTTCATACAAAGACACTGGAGTGGTTTGCCATTTCCTTCTTCAGCTCATTTTACAGATGAGGAAACTGAGGCAAACAGAGTTAAGTGGTTTGCCCAGGATCACGCAGCTAGTAAGTGTCAGAGGTCAGATTTCAACTCAGATCTTCCTGATTCCAAGCCCAGCACTCTATCCCCTGTGCCACCTAGCTTCCCTGTTATCTTGGCATAAAAGTATCTGCTAGGTACATTTATAAAATGGCAGATAGGTGGTGCAGTGAAGAGGGCACCGGCTCTGGAGTCAAAAAGACCTGAGTTCAAATCTGGCCTTGGACACTTATTAGCTGTGTGACACTGAGCAAGTCACTTAACCTCTATCTGCCTCGGTTTCCTCCTCTGTAAAATAGCAACAATAATAATAGCACCTTCTTCCCTGAGCTGTTGTTGAGATTAAAAGAAATATTTGTAAAGTGCTTTGCAAACCTTAAAAGTGCTATACAAATGCTCACTTATTACTGTTATCAAGGATGTTGACCTTGGGAAAGGCAGTGACCAGGTTAGAGTTTGAACTGTTCTTCCAAACAACAGTAAATAGATAGCAACTTCCTCCTAATTGCCCCAGGACACAATTTAGTACCATGAAAAAAGGATTTAACTTAGCGTCATAGGACCTGGGTTCGAATCCCATCTCTGACACTTACTAGCTGGGTGACTTTGAGTTAAGTAACTCATAGTCCAAGAGTTTCAGACGCTTCCTCCATAAAATAAGGAGGACTCTCTAGAATACCTTAAAGATCTCTTGACACATTTTTCCAGGAAGCACTGAAGGTCAGATAAATAAATGCAGCCAAGAGTAGTATAAACTAAAAGTTGGGCAAAAAGATTGGAATGTAATAAAAATCCATTGGTCCCTATTCTACTAAGTGAAGATTGCCACCCAATGGATCAGTTAATCAACCGAACAATCAACTATTTATTAAGTACCTACTGTGTGGCAGCCAGGAGGCACAGTGGATAGAGTGTTGGGCCTGGAATCAGGAAGACCTGAGTTCAAATCTGATCAGACATTAGCTGGGCAAATCGCTTAACCCTGTTTGCCTCAATTTCCTCATCTGTCAAATGAGCTGGAGAAGGAAATGGCAAACCGCTCCAGTATCTTTGCCATGAAAACCCCAAATGGGGCCACAGGGAGTCAGGCATGAGTGAAATGAATCAACCCATGTGCCAGACACTGTCCTAGGTACTAGAGGTCTGAGTGAAAAGAACGAAACAATCTCTACTTACAAAGGAGTGGACATTCTAATGAGGGAGACAGCAAGGGCACATATAAATATATAGAGCATAAATATCAAGTGAAAAATCCAAATACATGCAAAGCAGTTAAACACAAGGTAGTTTGAGACGGAGGACACTAGCAGTTGGGAGATCAGGAAAGGTTTCATGCAGAAGATGGTCTTGAGGTGCTTTTAAAGGAAGAGAGGAACTCTGTAAGAGGTAATAGCTCCCATTTACAATCCCTTAAAGTTTATAAAATTCTTTCCTCATAGAAAGCCTAGGAGGTAAGTGATACAATAATTGTTCCCTCCAATTCACATGTAGCAGTAGACTTTATAGGTCACTCACAATCTAGGGGTCCCTCACTACTTCCCAGGTTCAGTGTGTTGTTTGGAGTCATAAATATGTAAACCTCTGTTTGAGTTCCCACCAAGGGCACCTCCATACCAGACCATATGAAAGATACATAAACCCAATGACAAAAGGCATTTAATTATGACAGAATAACAAAGTAAATAAAGGGAAGTGAATCAGATGGGTTTGGAATCAGGAAGACTCATCTTCATGAGTTCAAATACTGCGTCAGACATAATAGCTATGTGACCTGGGCAAGTCACTTAACCCTGTTTGCCTCAGTGTCTTCATCTGTCAAATGAGATAGAGAAGGAAATGGCAAACCACTCCAATATCTCTGCCAAGAAAACCCCAAATGGGGTCACAAGAATTGTACACAATTGAAACAACTCCACAACAACAAAAGAATCAGATGGCAGACGTTCTTCACACCCATAACAAAATGAAAGCTATCTCTCACATCTCTGGAGGAGTGATGATCACATTCATTTTTAATTCCTCCTTCTGCTTCTTGCCTCTTTAATCCAGGGTCAGGGAGGCAAGCTAGAGAAAGCTGACACCTTACAAACACTATCAAATGCTAAAATCTCTGACATTCTGGTTAATCTCCACAGCCAGGCCACACCAGCAGCTAGCATTCCATTTTATCCAACCCATCTAACCCTACTGCCCCCTTCTCCCGTCAGCTGTTACCCATAGCTATCACATGACTCCACTCTGATTCTCTCTTCACATGTGGCTGTTGTCTTCTGTCTTCAAGTTCATACCCCTGTTTTTCAACAGCTACTCAGTAAAGCTACTCTGCTCTTTTTCTAAGGTCACAGTATCCAATGAAATCCCCAGGCAGGTTCAAGGGCCCCCATTGCCTCTAGCCTGAACTACGGCAATAGCCTCTTAATTGGTGGTCCTGACCCAAGACTGTCTCCTCTCCAATCCTTCTCCACACAGCTGCCAAAGTGATTTTCCTAGAGGATCGATCTGACCAAGTCACCTTCCACACCTCCTCCCAATTCAATAAACTTATTTTGGCTCAATGTTACCTCAAGAACCAAACAGAAACTTCTTTGGCATTTAAAGCCCTTCCCAACATGGCTACACCTCTCTCTGCAGTCTTCTTACAGATGACTACAGTCACCTCCATGCACGCTATAGTTTAGCCACACTGGCTTGCCTTCCATTCCTCACAACACATACAATGTTCTGTCTCCCACCTCTCTGCCATTGCACTGGCTGTGCCCCCTGCCTGGAATCTTCTCTCCTCTGAAGTCCACCTCTTAGAATCATTGACTTCCTTCAAAATCTATTTCAAGGCCAGACCTCTGCAGGACATCTTTCCTGGTCCCCCAAACTAAGGTTGCTTTGTATCCATTCTACCTAATCATGTCTGTGTATGTGCGCACACGCACATACACACACACACACACACACACACACACACACCCTCTCCTCTTCTTGTGGAGTTCCTTTTGAAATGAATTTACTCTGTTTAAAGGCACCATACCATGTAGCAGAGAACAAAGCTCACCTGTATTTATCTGTTTATGCTAATTAACACTAATATCAATACACATATGTGAATTGTCTCCCCATTAAAATGTAACTCCTTAAGTTTCGGAGAAGAGTTTTAACAAGTTTTTGGCTTGTTGTGTCCCAAGCACTTAGCCCAGCACCTGGAATGTAATAGGTACTTAGTAAATGTTCATTGATTGATTATACTTGAAATTTATTGGGAGTTGCTTGTCCTATTTATCCTACATATACCTATATGCATTCATAGATCTTCACATAGTCTCCCCCACTAGACTGGGAACTCTTTGAGGGCAGAAACTGTCTTTTGTCTTGAGAGAGAGAAAAACCAGCAAAAAGAAGAAAACTAAAGTGAGTTCCTTCAGAAAAGACACCCAAACAAGGACCCAGTGACCCTGGAAATACATTGTTTCCATTAATTCTTTTTCTTATTGGTATGATTTAACCTTGAGCACGCATCACTGGTCATCTCACTGATAGCTATAATTTTTTAAAAATTTAATTGACTGTTCAAAGTTGTAGGGGCAGATTTTAAAAATTCAAGCAGTGGGTCAGTCTGCAGTTTGGTTTTCTTTCTTTCTTTCTTTCTTTCTTTCTTTTTCTTTCTTTCTTTCTTTCTTTTTTTTTAAAGGATCAAAAGGTTTCCAGGGCTCCCTCGACAGCTTTGCAAACTAGCATATCCTATTAAATATTCAGTCTCAAAATTACCATACAGCTGGGTCCCTCACAGCTCTCCTCTTCTTGTGGAGTTCCCTTTGAAATCAACTGTGTGTGTTTAAAGGTGCCATGCCATGTAGCAGAGAACAAAGCTCACCTGTATTTATCCATTTACACTAATTTCTACACACACTACAATTTGCTATACTCTAGGTTGTCTGCTCAAAGAGAATTCAAAAACAGGCAGCCTTTTTGAAAAACACATTCAGAAGCTATTCTAGGTCAGAAACAAAGGGATAACGAATGAACTATCATTACCTGAGATGCAGCCTTGGTTTCAAAAGGACGTGACAATTAGAACTTCCGTCATGAGATGACCACTAGCCCCAAGGACCTGGAAAAAATATATAGTTTTATACTTAGGTTCAAAAAGTCAACTTCCAAAAAACAACTGAGGAAAGAAATGAGTAGACTTCATCGTGTCTGACAAAGATGTGGAAGTTTCAGTGGATTGTAATTCCATAACAATGTAATATGGCAGCCAAAAAAAGTCTAACGAAAATTCAAGCTTTACTAAGAGGAACAAAGACTGCAGAAATCAAGGAGTGATGGTCCTACTGAACTACACCTTGGTCAAAATACATCTGGTGTATTGTATTCAATTTGGGTGCAACAGTTTAGGAAGAATATTACCAGCACAGGCCTGGAGATCACATTATATGAGAACTGTTTCAAGGAGCTAGGGGTCATAGATTTAGAGTTGTAAAGGGTCTTAGAGGTCACTGAGTCCAACTTCATCATTTTACAAATGAGGAAACTGAGGCCTAGACAGGTTAAGTGACTTACTCAGAATGTTCATTCTGGAGAAAAGAAGGCGCAGATACAAGTGATGGCTGTCTTCAAATAGCATCTAAGAACATAATATAAAAATGGAAAGAGTTCTCAAAAGTCATATTATCTAATCTCTTCATTTTACAGATGAGGAACCCAAAGCCCCAAGACTTCTCCAAGACTTCAGAGAATTATCCAAGGTCACACAAGTAGTAAAGCCTTGTCCTCTGGCCCCAAATGCATTTTTCTTCCCCTCACACTATGTAGCATATGGAAAAGAGATTTCCTTTGTTCTGTTTGATTCTCATCATCAATACTAGGACAGTAAGAAGAGTAAAAGAGACAAATTGAGGCTTCATGTTAAGGAAACCTTTTGAATAATTAGAGCTACATGAAAGTGAAATGACTTGCTTCAGGACGTGAGTTCGCCTTTTCTGGAGGTCTTGAAACAAAGGCTGAATGACCACCGGGTACATTGTACAAGGGATTCTTGGTCAGGTAAGGGTTAAATTAGATGGCTGCTGAAATCCCGTCACACTATGAAATTCTGTGATTCCATGAAGTTTCAGTAATGCATGAGGATTTTCTTTTTTTTTATTTTCCTACAATATTTTTCTCCCTTATTGTTCATGAGTCTCTCTTAAACCCTCTCCTGATATCTCTTTGGAGTGTGCAAGTGACTCTTATTTTTTGAATACTAGAAGGAATGGAACTTAAGAATATCTCAAAGAACAGAGAAAAATGTAAGGTCAATTGCTGCATCCAATCCATCTAGTATTAAAGGCTATTCTAGCCTAGAAAAAGCTTTCTGGCTGGTCTCCAAATTGGAAAGGCTTTGAGTCGGAGCCTGGTGATAGAACAAAGACCAAGCTACTTTGTTCCAGAATTTTGGCCACAGGTGATGAATTTGTCAGCACTTTAACAAAGACCATCTGCTAAGGCATAGAATGGCAAAGATCTCTGTCTAGTGGGAAAGGACCCATGGATGGGGATGCTAAGACAAAATAAGGCAGTCCTTGTCTCAAGGAAGTACTTACAAAATCATTAATCCTTAAAGTATCAAAATGCTAATCACTAAAAACATGAACATTATCATTAAAAATTCAATATTGGCTCTACTGTACTTTGACTTAGCAATGAGAAGTGGGAAAAGCACAGGAGTAGGAGTCAAGGCACCTAGGTTGGAATCCTGGCTGATGACAATTGACTTGACACACATTTACCATCTATGTGAACTTGGACAAGTCTCTTGACCTCTCTGAGTCTCAGTTTCCTCATCTACAAAATTAAGAAATGAGACTAGAGGACCATTAAGATCCCTGCCAATTCAAAATCAGTGATATTATCAAAGATCAATGGGTTTGGAGTCAGAGAACCTAAGCTCAGACTGCACCTCTAAAGATTCCTTTCTTGGTGATGGGCAAATCACTCAGGCTGCCTGTGTTTCCTGTTCTTCAACCGTAAAACAAAGGAGTCGTAAGTCACAGAAGACACAACCGTTGAATGGATTTGTATTGCTTGACTATGTATGTGTTACAAAGCTTTGGTTTTCTTTCTTTCCAATGGATGGAGAGGAGGTAGGTTGGACAAAAAATAAGCACTTATTAAAGAAGAAAGTAAAATACAATGAAATGTTTTAATAAAGTGAAGGAATTAGACTAGATCAGGAGTCTACATCATTTTTGTGCCATAGATCCCTTTGGTGGTCTAGTAAAACCTAGGACCCACTCTGAGAAAAAAAAAATGTTTTTAAATGCATAAAATATATAGAATACAAACGGATCAGTGATATTGAAATAGTTATTCAAATATTTTTTTAAAAAATAAATTCATGGAACTAAAGTTAAGAACCACTAGTTAGGTGGACTTTGAGGTCCCTTCCAGCCCTAAATTAATGATCCTATCATTCTACCTCTATGAGCATCTTGCCTAGCTGGGTACATTGCTGCCGGCAACCAAATTTTGCTCATTAAATCTTGTAATCAATAATCCAACAGCTCAACCTGCAGTTGGCTATTTAAAAAAATAAAAGAATGTTCTATCTAAAATGCCCCCAATTCCACTTACTCCCTATTATCTACCAGTCAATTAGCCATTTTGTAGGTTATCTGCTGAATCCTAGCACATTCTACATCTAGAGGGTGGAGAGGGAGGAAGGAATGAAAGAAAGAGATTATGATCCCAACTCTGCAAAAGAGACAAACACTGGCCACGTGACTCAGTAATTACAGTAGGGTAATAAGAGTCATAAATTAAGACTCTGGATCTTCCATTGCCCAAAAGATACGAGAACGAGAATATATAAAATACTGATTCACACCTATACTCACATATTGTTAGCTTATTCCCTTACAAGACAAGATGAATGAAGAACGGCAACCCAACAAAATGAGATTCATGAGAAAAACTGCTGGATACACTTTTTGGGATTGAAAAAGAAATCAAGAAATGGTGAAAGAATTTTAAATGGAGCCAATAGCTGAAAGCACCCAAAATTACTGAGGAAAATGGAAAGAGCATGTGGAAGTAAGGGACATTTAAAGGATGCCAGGACAAGTAATAGGCTAGAGACTCCAAGGAAAAATATCAGTGGGAAGTTCATTCAGGAATAAGATATGAAATTAAAATAATCCCCTTGGTCTAATGCTTGGGAAAGGAACAAGGTTGTCACATATGTGCAAAAAATATTAAGAGCTCCTTTTGTGCTGGCAAAGACCTGGAAACTGAGGGGATGCCCATCAGTTGGGGAACGGCTGAACAAAGCATGGTGTACGAATACATAATGTTATTATGCCATGAGAGGTGAGTAAAGGAACTGTTTCAGAGAAACCTAGGAAGATTTATATGAACCAACCCAGAGGAAAGTGCATGAAGCCAGTAGAATGACTCAAGCAAGGACAATAAAATTCTAAAAACAACTTTGAAAGACTTAAGTACTCTGATCAATGCAACAATCAGCCATGCTTCAAGAGGATGGATGATGAAGCATGCTACCCATTTCCTGACAGACAGGTGGTGATACACTACAGATGCAGAATGAGACACACAATTTTGGACATGGCTAGTATGAGAATTTGTTCTGTTTGACTATGTATATTTACTACAAGGGTTTTATTTTTTCTTTTTTTTTTCCTAGTAGGGGAGGAGTGACAAGTGGGAGGGAAAGGAAACAGATGCTTACTAACTGGAATAAATAAAATTTAATTTAAAAAGAAAAAAAATAATGTTTTCCAAAGCTTGTGATTAGTTGGTGGGTTTAGTTTATGAATTGACGGTTCCTTGGTGATTATATTTTAGCTGGTTGGGGAGGGTCTCCCAAAGACTGAATTCTAAGGATATATTTTCCAAAGAGCACAGTGGGAAGGACTTGGAATTTACTGGCATGTGAGAAAAACACATCTGTCAATCCAGGGCAGCTTTTTTTTTGCAAGGCAATCAGGATTAAGTGACTTGACCATAGTCACCCAGCTAGTAAGTTTCAAGTATCTGAGACTAGATTTGAACTCAGGTCATTCTGACTCCAGGTTCAGTACTCTATTCACTGCACTGCCTAATAGAGTCCTTTCTGAAAATGTTGGGAATTTATATTGCAGTATTTCAAAAGATAAGTGGTTTTATCCCTATCAGTACTCTCCCCACTGATCCACATAGGTAGGCTCTTCATACCTTAGGATGTGGTCTTTACAGGTTGTTGGGGCCAAATAAATTAATCATTATGTGGCCAACCTTCTGTTGATGAAACTCTCCAAACTTAGTAAGGTTGATCCTTGGACAACAGACAATGATGATCATTAAGTCCATAGAAAAGGTCCTTCCAGGTTGTTAAAGCCAAAGAGTTCAGTCTGCTGGCATAACCCACATTCTAGAACCAAGGGTCATCCCCAGACCATGATGAGATATCCTAGAGTAGGACTGTAGGTCTTCGTTCTGAGAATTCATATATGCCAGCAATTCAGCAATATATCAATGGATACTTACAACCAAAGAGAAATCAAGAAAGAAATCAATTATTCATACTCCTAGAAGGAAGAAACTCCTTTTGAATAAAAGAGATTTGGGTTTGAATCATCTGAATTCCTACCCTGAGATTCTAAAGGACCAACTAGGCCTTTGTTAAGAGGTAATAAAGGACCAACACCTAAGGCTGCTAAATGGCAGAGATCTATTGAATCTAGGTAACATGGATATCCAATTCATTTAATTCAAAGCAAACAATCCACTTTGGGCCCTTTCACTGCCTGGTTTGACTAGCTATACCTCCCATGTGAAATTACCCATTTTACTTTTCTCAGTGGAGAATTATGTAAAACTTCCAACCACCAAAATTCATGAGCTCCTACATTCAATATCCATAGAGAAGAGTCAAGGATTTTTAACCTGTCAATTTTTAAAAATATTTCAATAACTATATTTAATAAAATATTTAATAACTATATTTAATAAAATTGTAATGCCATCTATTTTATTTTATGAATTCAATAACATTATGCTGAGAAGGGTCTATAGATGTCACCAGTCTTCCATAAGGATCCAAGATGCAAAAAAAGGTTAGGAACCTCTGGG